GAGAGAGAGAGAGAGAGAGAGAGAGAGAGAGAGAGAGAGAGAGAGAGTGTGTGTGTGTGTGTGTGGCGTTGTCTTCCTCAATTAGAATGTGAACTTCTTACAGAATAGGGACCATCTCCATTTTCTATCTGTATCTCCAATGCTTAGCAAAAGTACCTAATAAATGCTTTTTAAATCATTCATTTATTCAATTAAAATTCAAAGGTCTTCACAAATTGTGAAATTAAATCAGACCTCTGATGTCCTACACATCCATACTTGTCTTTTTAACACCAAAGACAAGATTTCACATTTATCTGTATTTAATTTCATCCTATTAAAGTCAGCACATTAATGAGTTAGTATTTATATAAGGCTTTATGATTTGCAGAGTGTTTTTACACATAATATCCAATTTGATCCTCACAACCACCTGGCAAGTAGATGCTACTGTTACCCCTACTTTACAGATGAGGTAATCTTGGCAGAAGAGGTTAAATGGCTTGATTGACCAGGGTCACACAGCAAGTAAATGCCTGAGGCAGGATCCTAATTCAAGTCTTCCTGATTCAAAGTCCAACATTTTATCTATTCTACCACCTAACCTGTGAATATTGAAACATAGGATCCTATCTCCTGTCATATTACAAAGTAGCTCTACTTTTCAGCATAGCTGATAAGCATGCCTGCTTTTGTCTACATCCAAGTTAATTAAAATGCTGACCAGAATAGGACAAATCCAATAGAACTAAGAACACAGTTTGTGGTGTAGCACTAGAAAACTCCCTCTTCTCCCTTCACCTCTCCCCCCAAATTTGTCAATAAATACTTTTTGAGTATGTCAACTAGCTATGGATTCTGTATGTTCATCGAGGACACACTTTTACCATCTTGCCTGAAAATATACCAAAAGAGATAACTAATGTCTTTTTTTTTGAAATTCAGTTCTTCAGCACTCTCCTAGTATAGTATATCTTTTCAAAAGAGGAAATTAGGTTGGGTTGATCTGACTTCTTAGTGAATACAAACTGGCTCCTAGTCATCACTACAGTATTTATCAACTGTTTGATCATTTGTTCCATAATTTTGCTAGGCATTAAGAGTAAGCTTACTGAATTAATATTTTTCTTTATCTTCAAGACTGACATAGCATTTGCTTATCCATTTTTCTGTTCTCCTTTATTCCTCAGAGATTGCCAATAGCAGGAAATCATTAAATTTGCAGAATTTTTTTTTCAGTACCCTGAAAAATACATTTCAGTCTGGAGATGTGACTTTGTTTTAAGAAGCTAGGTACTATTTCTTCACTAATACTGGATCTCAATCACCCCTCCCCAACCACCAGTTTATTGTACCCTTTTCAGTTTGAAGACCATTCTTGAAACAGACAAGAAAGAGTGGAAAGTTTCAATTGGGTAGTTCTGTTCTCTTTGTCATCCCCTCAATCAATAAGCATTTATGAAGCATCCACCAAGGGCCAGGCACCGTTAGGTACTGAGGATACAAAGACAATGACGAAATAGTCCCTTTTTCAATGAGCTTACATTTTAACACATTGTGTTATGCCACCTGTCTCCAAGGAGTTTATATGCCCCTTTCCAAATGAACCTTAAAAAAAAGGTCCTCTTTGTTGTATTCAGGATCTTTTCAGAAGCCTACATTCACTTGGGCTTTAGCTTTCCTGTCACTACTCTCTTAGGCCTCTTCCATTCTTCATTATTAGTCCTCGGTTACACACCTGTCCTTCTAGCTTCAGCAGAGATACTTTGCAAGTTTGTGCTCATGAGAAAGATGTAGTAGTTTCTTCAGGTGATTTCCTCCTTTCTTCCTCACAAAGATCATTTGAGACTGTCACCAGAAGTTTGGGTTTGTTTTTTGACTAACCCTTTCAAACCATCTTCTCTTAATAAGTGAAGTAGTGCAAGTATGATTGTCCCTATTTTCATACAATTTCAGGGTTGAAGGAATATATATGGCCCAGATCAGAGGGGAAAATGGCATTATGGTATTATAGAAGAACTCTCAAAAGGAGGTTCAAGAGAGAGGCATCATTCTGGGCCAAGTACTACAAAACCCTACTGCAGTTCTTCAGACAACTGCCAATACCTTGTTTCTAGATCATCAAATGGTGAAGCTGACAGAAGCTCCTTTGCTGAGGTAGGGAATATAGCAAAGACCTATTTGCAAAATGATTCCTTTCTCTAAAGACATACATGTGAGGATTTTTATTCTGATTGTCCTACCTCTTTTCTTTTGAAATCCCAAAGGAAATGATTGCGTGTCAATGGCATCCCCAATGACTTGAAGGATAAATGTCAAAATCCCCAGTACCCATCATTCATTTATTTCACCATTATCTAATGAAGCACCTGTTGTAGAGTACTGTGACAGGCACTGGATGCAATTCAAAGTTAAGAGAAGACATGGTCCCTTTTCCGTGAACCTTGAATTACCTAACGGTTGTCTCATATCCTATATAGTCAATTTATTTATCACCATCACGAGGACAGAAGATAGAATAAAGAGCTCTCCAGTCAGCCTTTTAAAATGAAGTGTTGGCTCCAACATTTATTGGCTAACTCACTTAACTTCCTTGAGCCTAAATTTTCCTCATGTTAAAGTAGGGATATCAATATTTGCCTTACATGCCTCACAGTGCTGTGAGAGAAGAGTTTTATAAACTTTAGAGCACTATATAATAAATGTGATTTATTACCCAAGTTGATGGAACATAATTTAAGAGTCAAACAAAAGGGTTATTGTTTCTTTCCCAATTTGGAGAACTGGCAGATGTGGAGGAAATAAGACAATATCTAAAACACTTACTAATACTAGAGAAAAGAAGAGGAATATATTTGGGGGGGGAGTGTCTTCATGTCCATTTTGTATAGACAAGATTCTAGAACAATAGCAGGTATCATCAGGGTCACAATCTTAGACCTTCCTAGTTTTAGGATGAATTCCTTGAATGGATCCTGAGCATTTTATCTAGTTTTCAACACTACTTCAAAATTATTACTTCAATATTACTCCATTTTTATCAATTATATCAATCATCCAATCTTTCCTTGTAGGGTAAAAATACTTAGAGAAACAAACCTAGTCCCAGAAGCAAGTATCCCAATAGGTGGAGGGAAATGGAAAACTCAGAGTTCTTCAGAAATAGCAGCCTTATTAAATACAAATAATCTTACATTTATATAGTAATTTAAACTTTTTTTCCCCAGAGGACAAGGTCTTTGAAGTCTTCCTCTTGATGTACTTGATTCCCATTTCTTATGTATGGCTTTTAATGACTTCTATTTCTTGTTCCAAACTAGGTCTACAGATGACTCAACTCAGCCTCAATAATGTTGTTTTGGATTGCATTGGCAAGGCTGCCCAGGGAGCAGTAAATAGCACATTAGTCCCTGTTTTCTCAAAAGGGATGATATTTGTTGAATTAAAATGCTCCTCCTTTTTCCAACTACATATCTCCATGAGGCTGGATTTTCTTCATATACTTTCACCAAAATAACATATCTTGATAGATTGAATGCAGAAGGAGATATGAGAATCTAGTTGTCTTCTACCATGTCAGACATAAAAGAGATCTGAAAAAATTTGCAAAGCAATGCCACTCTTCTCACTAATTTTTTTCTTTTGGAAAACAGTTATTTTTCATAAAAATTATTTATGTTAACATGGAATGGGTTTATTATTGTTATTTTAAAAAGAATAATTTTAAATTAACCAGTTTTAATTTCTATGGTAAATATTGATAGATATATACCACATAAACAAGAGCTCTTTAATAATTTTTTTGAGTGTAAAGGAGCCCTGAGATCAAAATGTTTGAGAACTGCTGGGCCAGCAAAATATCAAGAAAAAAAACCATCTGATTCCTTCATAAGATCAACACTAGGGGGCACCAGTATATAATGCACACCAAACAAGTACTGTGAGAGCACATCAAAGCCTTTCGACAAACACTGGGTCCCTTGGAGAAGGAAAGGAAATAAATTAAGGTAACCACAAATAATCTTATGTTTTTAAACTAAGGAATGGCAATAGCCTGTTTGGAGCAGTAGAATCTTACAGCAGGAGCCTCAATTGTTTGACGTGCATATACAATACCATGGACATATAGGTGCTTAATGAAATATTATCTGAAAATACCAAAGACTAAAGAGTATAAACAGGTTTTCAGTAGTTTGCAAAAGCTAAGACAAAAGCTCAGTGGTTTAGGAAGCATGTTATGAAACCTCTGACCCAATAATCTCTCTATTGGGAATATATCCTAAATTTTAAAACACCTATTTGTACAAAGATATTTATAATTCTATTTATAATGGACCAAAGAAAACAAAAAAAAAAAATCCTGCAAATAACTCAAGTGCCCAGTTGAGGAATGGTAAAGCAGATTGCTGGTATATGAATACCATTTATTGCTATGCATGTAATTAACTTAAACAAATGCAGCGTGTCCCAAAGATCTTGGTGCAGTTTTAAGTGATTAAAGTTTAAGCTATTTAAGCTATTAAAACTTAAAACTGCACTAAGCCGGCAGCTAGATGGTACAGTGGATAGAACTCTGGCTTTGGAGTCAGGAGGACCTGAGTTCAAATCTGACCTCAGACCCTGACAC